TTGACTAGACCCAAAGCTTCGATTGCAGGTCGTCCTAAGAGGGGTTGCTTAAGATCACTCACTATGTGAACGTCTTGTTTTACTTTCTTGTCTCCTACTTCTAGTGTTGCGGCAAGGGTGCCACACACCTTGAGGGGCAGCTCTCCTGGACCTTTCAACGTTACGACGCTCTGTCTCAGTCTCCCTGGAATTTTCCTTTGGGTGGACAACGGTACTACTGTCACATCAGCGCCCGTGTCAATCTTGAAGTTTATTTCTATTCCATTTACCTTAACAACCTTACTCCAAGGGTCGTTTTTACTCTTTTCAACTTGACCAACGGTTATGTTTCCAAGGAATGGATCAAAGGGCTCTAATTCTTCTTTAGCCAGTTCTGGTTCTGTATCTTCTCTGACTGACTCCTTCTCTGTTGTTACAGCTCTGACATGCTTTTCTGATCTACATACAGCTTTAAAGTGTCCAATTTTCTTGCATTYGTGGCAAACTACTCCCTGAGCTGGGCATTTACTTTGTGGGTGGCTTGGTGATTTTCCACACCTGCCACAACTTTCTTGTTGGCTCTTATTCTGCTCTTTTGTCTTTTCTCGAGGCTTCTGTTTGTTTTGWGGCTTCCACTTACGGGATTTGCCTGTGAGTGCATTTACCTGGCTGGGTTTGTCACTGTTAGGGTCTTGAAAACCTCTTACTACTTGTTGCTGCCGTTTTACTTGCTCACTCTGTCGGGCGGCATCGATTGCCTTGTTCAGAGACAATTCAGCATCTAACTGGAGTTTCYCTGACAGCCTACTATCTAAAAGTCCGACCACAATGCGATCCCTGAGCATTTGATCGTGCAATTCACCGAACTGACAGTGTTTGGCAAGAGCATATAAATCAGTTATGAAACTTTCTACTGACTCACCCACCTCTTGTTTTCGATTATTGAATTTTGCTCTCTCAAATATCGTATTTCTTCGTTTTACAAAGTGTTCCTCAAATTTCTCGCGAACTGGTTTATACTTCTTCTCCTCCTCGGTCAAGGTGAGTGTAGCGAGAATATCGTCGCTTTTATCGCCCATACAGTAAATTAGCATGTTTACTTGGCTTTCTTCGTCGCTTGATGCAAGCCCAGAGGCAATTCTGAACCTCTCGAATCTTCTAATCCACTTTGGCCAATCGGCTGGTTGCGAAAAATCGAAGTTTTCCGGTGGTGAAATCTGGAATGTTGACATACGTGGGTTTTGAACGATGGCTGCCTCAGCGCTCGTTTCTGGCATTTTTTCCTAGTTCTTTGAACTAATCTTGTGGAAAAAACTTGATCAACACTTAGATTGATTCTATCCCTTAAATTCTGACACCATGTAACGTT